CCCCAAAACCCCAAAACCCCAAAACCCCTAAGGATACTCTTAAATGATTGAGGCAATTGTTTTAATCAATGTAAACAAATAATTATATCACAAGAAACACAAACTTAGATATTATTATATTAGACAGGAAAATCAGCAAAGGCTCATATCATCTTCACTCAATATAGTCAGGTTGTTGTTCATATTGAGGGGCATGCTCATTGTCATCATAATCATCACAAACAAGGTTTTAGTTAACCATGTCTCCCTCTGTCAAAGCCTCTGAATGGCCACTAGCCTTTCCATTTAGAGTCTTTTGTGTAAAGTAGAAAGTCTTGAACTCTTTGCTACCTGAACATTGGCCACTGTAGATCAAACCGAAGAGTCTCTTTTTACTAGCATCAGTGTCACAATATTGCTCAATAAACTCTTCAATTGTCAAATAACCACCTCCAACTCTAATAATGATTTAGTCCTTCTCAATTTTCATGAAGACTCTCTTCTTTCCATACTTGTATATACCCTCTGATTCTCTTTCAAACTTCATGTAATCTCTAAGCTTAATAGGAGCGTTATTGATGTACTCAGCAAGTCTTCTATCTACTGGATCATCCTTGACTGGGTGATAGACAAACACATTGGAGGGAACATATTAAGCGTTTGTTTGAAGTTAGTGAATCACCTCTTATAGATGCTCAATTTCTTGTTCTCTCTCCTTAAGCTACTAAAGTAATTCAAGTGAGGTCTTCTGAGCTTCTTAACATTTTTCCTCTACTTCAAGTAAGTAGTTAGTACACACTTCTAAATCACTCTTGTACTTATCCTTATTTTAATTAAGTCTGTGATAAGCATTAGTCAGTTGATCAATCTTAGCATCTTGATCTTCTTTGGCGCAAAGAAGTTACTCAAGAGCATTCATTCTGCTATTTAGTTCTAAGTTTTCATTGGTAAGATTCTTGATGACAATATCTTTCTCAGATTTCTCCTGGAATAACTCATTCAATTCTTGATTTAAGTTATTTCTCTCTTAGGCAATTCTGTTGTATTCATCTTGCATCTACTTGCAGATATTATCGTTGTCTTAGAGGACTCTCATTAGGGTTTGATTCAACTGATCTCTTTCTCCTTTCATTTGCAATAGCTCATTGTTAACTCTTTGATTAATCTCTTTGATGTTCTCAAGGCAGATGACTTTAGTCTTCTCTTGCTCTAACTAGCCATCTCTTCTGTCAAGTTCTGAGTTCAAGGTGTCTAACCTTTCCTTGAATTCAGCAATTTCATTGTAAGCCTCATTGAGTTAGGTTCTAAGTTGGCGGTTTTCAGTAACTACTTGCTGTTTTTCAGATATTATCTCCTCAATTCTTTGTGAGTACTCTCTGCCTTGAGACTCCAACAACTCATTCATTATAACGAATTTCTTAGCTAAATCTTCTCGCTAGACATACTCACGTTCATATTTATCTTTATAATCTTAGAGATTAGCTTTGTCAAGAGTGAGTGCATTGACTTGATTTTCTCTCATAGATAAAGTCTGCTTGAGATCATCGAATTCCTCCACCTTTTTAGAGAACATCTCAGTGATTATAAGGATTTACTTGCTTAAACTCTAATTCTCATTAATAAGGATTTCTTGATACTTGATATTCTTATCTTTCTCCTCTCTTATTCTCTCAGCAGTCTCCTTAATGTTATTTCTTAATTCATCTCTGGCTTGATCTGATTGGTCAAGTTGATCCTTGAGAATTGCTCTTTCCTAATCAACATTTTCATAGTATTTAAGTTTCTCATTTAAAGCAGTAATTGCAGACTTTAGGTGATCATGATTTAGCCTTTCCTCATATTGCTCAATGGTGACTTTTACTGGTGACAAAACAGATCTCTTTGCTGGTGAAATAGTTTGATCATACTGACTTTTATTTACTTAGGCTCTTGATTTGCTTTTTCCGTTAGATCCTACAAATTGATTGATTAGTATGATTCATTAAATAATTCGTAAAATTATTATACTTACTTGTGTGAGACTTTGTGTTCATTCTATTGTTTGCTCCCTAACTTGCTGATCTAGTGGAGGATGGAATTTATTGATTTTGCTATTGGGAACTCTTATTTGTTTGATAATTTTCCTAAGGAGTAACTTAAAGTTGACAAGGGCTTTCTGGTTTGTCATTTTATACTCCAGTGTTATTGCCAGCACATCCAATTTCTTGAGTGTGAAGGTTTTGCATTAAATCGAGATTTCCCTTTTGAGTTGAACTTTAGTGACTTTGATTCATAGTATGAGCTGTAGGTGGTCTGTTCTGGCTCTCTCTCAATATAGCAGGATGATTATTACTAGCGCTTTATTAGTATTTTGATTGCACAGCACTTTATTTGCCATTTATGGTATTTTCCCTGCTTGCCAATGAAGACTAGATCTTACTTGAGTTTTTCTTGGTTGGAGTTTTGTAAGTACCTTGCTTTTGTGATAGAATTTATTATTGAAGATTTTAGTACTTAAGAGACTAGTTTGTCGACATATTGTAATGTGCGCTACTGTTGTTGTTTGATGAGCTATTGCTTTGCATTTGCAAATGGTTTGATTTATATATTATAACAGAAAAAAGTCGCAATCAAATAATTTTTAAAATTCAAGCTGTTAAGATTGTTTTACCTAGTTCATGAGGGGTTTTGGGGTTTTGGGGTTCTTATTTGCAATCT